ATTTTAAACTTTCTGATTGGGAAAAAAAACTTGTTACCGTGCCCACCCAAGAATGACTTTCTAGCTCCACCCCCGTTTCCCTCTCATAACATTCCCAAATATTTTAAGGGCCCGCCAATTACCACCCCTATCCACTTGCTATTAGACTCTTTAATCTGTTTACCTTCGACCACAAAACCAATCTAAAAATCACAATACTGTTAGCAACGCTATGCAAAGTATCCTCGTTACCTCGTGAAAAGATTGTATCACTAGCAAACCACAGCTATGACACTTCCACACAATCTTTTCTGATTGAAAACTCCTCAACTAATTTACAATATCTAGCTCAGACCAGCAATCTACTAACATATCCACAAGGAAAGTAGACAGAAAAATGTAACAAATGGTCTCCCAACCTAAGATCCCTATATGTCTTGAATCTCCCCCTCTCAACCTTTCATTAAGAGTACAAAAAAATTCTTTGAACTCAAGCATCCTTTTAGATACCAAACTGACAACCTAAAATCACTAATTTTCAAAAAAATTTGCTTCTACGAAATTCAGCAGATGAAAGTAGCACAAGTACTTAGACTAACCACTCCATTATGAAAAACCTTATTCAGCAACAATAGAAAACCCACCAACCCTGATACCACAATCAAATACAGAAGCCCTTACTTCACTTTCTTCAAAGGGCCTTCCAACATGACACCACTTTATCCCACTAACTTCGGCCTCTCCGCAACTAGAGTAGAAAAAAGATTATATGTGTCTAATGACTTTCTCCTTAATATAGCTCTCATCCTTTGGGATTTCTCTACCACTTCCAACTTGTTAACCAAATTGTTTCTTTTCTTACCATTAGCCAACTTATGGAACAACTTTGAAATATTATCACCATGCTTCACCTAGTTAACCTCAGCCTTTTATCTCCAAGAATTACCTAGTTAGCCTTGGCCTTTTATCTTCAAGAATTTCCTCTTTGAACCCAACTTTCACAAATTTGTGTCGAAAATCATTCCATTTTTTCTTAGTTGATTATTACCATCCTGTTTCCTCCAAATTATCATGATTCCTTATTTGATTTAAAATTGTCCGTGTAGCAACTCTTAAATTCTCAAAAATTTCGCTATTCCAGATTTTCATCTTTTCAACTTTTATTTGACAAACTCCAATTTTTTCATAAACCTACAGCTTTTCCATTGTACACACCATTCCTGCACCACATTTTAAAGTTACTCATGAAAAAAATGAAACTCCAAGCACACATTCCTAAACGTAATGGATCTAGACCCTTCTAAAAGAACGCAAATCCACAGCAATGAGACACCAATCATAATAATGATCTGTAACCCCTCTTGGCTCACATTATGAAAACCCCCTCCCACTTGGATGAGGACAAAAATTCTGTCAATCCAAGTGCACACAAGGTTTGATCTAAAATTTGACCAAGTGTAAACTATATAAAACAATGGTGGGTCCCTCAAATTAATTTCACAAATAAGGTCATTAAAATCAAATATACGGCAAGTCATCCTCCCCCATTCAGCTTCTCATTACCATATCTAATTACATAAAATTCATCCCCTAATTCAAAACTTAGGATAGCCCAAACCCAAACCAAATAAGTCTACTAACTCTTTCCAAAAAGATCTTCTATTCTTCTGTCTATTGGGCCCATAAATAGCAAACAACCACCAATCAACCCGTCTAGCATGGTCACTTGAACAGTCACAGAAAAATCACCAAATAGTCTCCAACACTAACACAACTCTAACATCACAAATCACTACAATCCCACCCTCCGACCTACCATAAGAAGGCCAAAAAAACCCACTCACAACTTTACTATCAATAACTTCTCTCTTAATCTGTTGCAATGCAACAATACCAGAATTAACTCTAATCACCACCTCATTAATGGTCCTTCTCTTCTCTCACCTAAACCATGTGAATTCCATCTAAAAATCTTCAAGGGGAACAATAGCATCCCTTCATTACCACTAGTAGTAGAACCCTCATAATTAATCCCTGATTTCAAGTTTTTCAACTCCATTAACCGTTTTCTATTCTTTTCACCTTTACTTATTTTATTTTTTACCTATACTTCAACTGGAATTAAGGACGAGTTCATTTTTGGCCGAAAAAAATATTGCAATCTAACCAAGTTTTTCTCATTCAACATAAACTCACCATCTTGATTTGCACAACGCTCATTCACCCTCTTCTAAATATATTTTATTCTGGCACCCCTCTAGTAGCCTAACTCCTTTAGTACATCCCTCATTCAGAGTCAAATTAACCTCATCACTCCCAGCTATAGAACCCAGCACTGTCCCAATGTCCTCCATCATCTTAATGAAAAGAATCAAAGGAAAGATACAAACCATTAGAAAAAGGAATTAGATGAAAAAAATCCCCTGCCCTCTTCACCACATTTTGGCGATAAAAGACCATCCCCTTCTCCCTATTAATAAGACCCTCTTGAACATATAAATTCTTTGACATAGAAAATGCCAAACAAGAATCAAGATTTTTACTAAGCTAAAGATCAAGATCAGACCTTACTCCATGATTCAGTTCATCAAATTCAGCAGTGGTTTATCAAACAAGTTCCCGAGTCTACTAGCTAAGTCCTCTACCTTTGAAACATCAACAGAGTACACAACATCACTACTGATACTTCAAACATCCTCCTCAACTATTCCAAAAGTTCCCTCCAATGCCTTTTGAGGAAGACATTCAATTGCAATAAACACTTCACCAATTCCAGTGGTAGGATCCCAACCCCACGATTCCATCTCTGAGCTTGAATGATCTACCCTAAAACTATGTTCGTCATCCCCTCAAAATCAGATCCAGTCTCCATCTCAAAACAAAGATCATTAACATTAAAGATCCCATCATCATTGTCAACTGACCTTGATCAATTCTATCTTCCACAACTCACTGAACAAACCATCCCTTGATGCCACATAATCATCTCTCCCTAAACGCAAATGACCCATCAGAACCGAGCCCGCATTCTTTAGAAATCTTCAATTTGAGGATCCGACAATCACCATAGCACCAATCTCACTCACTCACACAAACGAAAGAGCTCTAATGAGAGATGTCAGACGATCAGTTGATTTAATCCTTGTCAGGTCAAAATTAGTTGGGTCAAAGTTCAACGCGTCATACACCTTTAGAATTTTCCAAAAGCTACCCCAATCATTTCATTTAAACAACCTAATATAGCAAAATGCATTACCATCCGAAGCTCTTACAATAAAATGGGCTCCCATTTACGAATTAGTATTCCTGCCTAGATCACTTTTGCATTTATTCTGAGCCCATTTAACCACCCTTCCACGTTCGCTGACGCTTGCCTCTAGTTGAATTCATTTAGGTCACGCCTTGGTTTCTGTCTAGCCTCCAGCCAACCAACCCAAGTTTGTTCATTACCTTTTGATCCATGTTCCTGACCTCCCTCAATTGGTCCATGATTACTTCGTGCAACCTTTGTTTCCCTACTTCCACTTGATGTCTTCGGCCTAAGGTGCAAGAAATTTCGAGGACTCTGCATCAAACTTTGTCCAACTTCTTTGCCCAACACCTCCAAGCAAACAAATTACCCTTACTATGATCTTATGAATTTTTCTATGATACATGACTTCAAGAAACTTTGGGATGAAGATTGAGGTCTTTGATCACTGATTCTAGCTTCGAACTAGTCTTCCAAATCGTCAGCTTCTATGAAACCTCCACAACAATACCCGGTTTTCATAAACATTACTCACTTCCCCAAGTGAAACAGATAGACCTGCAACTTTAATCTAACCTCTAAAAAAAAGTCACTGCTTTTAACAGCATTAATCTCTGAATGCCATTTTTTATGCTTCATAGCAAACAGTCCTTCCAAGGAGCACCTCTCCCTCATCTACATATTTCATCAGCTTCTTCCAAACTCTCACAGAAGAAAATGACTTTATCTGCTTGAAAATGATACAATTTAATACCAAATTTCAACATTCTACCCAGAGCCCCACCAATCTCGGTCAATGTCCAAACATGCTTTATCTAATACGAACCACAGCACAATTCCACCTTTTTCCTTCAATGAACAAAATAGAATCCGCCACCAAGTTCCACCACAGCCCCTGTTTCTTCCTTTTCCAAGTTCTGCTTCGATTTTTTCTCCCAAAAACAAATTTCTTTGACTGCCGCAGCAAATTCCAACCACCTTTCCTCTCCCAGCTTGGAATAATTAGTCATACCCTTTCTCCATTGTTCTACAACCTAAAAACTCTGATGAATTCGCCTATACCATTGCGAAAGAACTTAGCCACCACTTTTTAGTTCAAAGAAACTTAAATGGCTGCCTCAATCCATGGAGCACACTCAAAACCCACCGAGAAACAAAAAACACGCCCACTGTACTTTTCAGGAGTTGTCTACCGAACATAATAATGACTTCTATCCCGAAAAGCTTGTGCTCAATCTGGAACACAACAATCTTCTCATATGATGGGTTAGGGCAAATCTAATTAATGCTTATGTCCATTAATCACAATTTATCTTCTGCAAAAATTAATCTTATTAAATTCTTTACTCTCCCATGAATATATACCCTTTATATACTTATTTTCAGATATGATAGAAATAGCATAGAGTACCTTATTTAACTGTGATTAATATTGTCCAAAAAAAGAGGCATGTATAGATATATGTACTCACAGATATAAGAGTCTTTCACACAAAAAATTTCAACAGTACTCAACATGACTATCATGAAAAGATAAGGATTGTCACCCAATACGGTCCCCATTAATCAAGGGTACTAGGAAGAGTGAACTGGGTGCGATTTCAATTTCGATATTATTCAAACAAAATGGCAGCCCTTACATCCAAATCCGCAACATCATGATTATTAGCAAAACACCTTTACCATTGCACCAGGCAATGGTCCCTATCACAGGCATACACATATATACATCTATATGCATAAATCATAATGGAACACTAGAACAATGAAATCAAAAGTTTGTACTCAGAACATGCATGCTAACCTCATTTGGATCAAAATAAGTTCGAACAAGGAGATGCTCCAATCGCAAGTATCTTTCAGGTTGCTCCTGCTTCATCACACCCATTGCTTGGGTTTGTCTTAATATAGCACGAGCAGTGTCCAACTCTCGAAGTTCAATCATTTCCAAAACAATCTAGTATGGATAAAGGATAGAAAAAATAGGAAAATTATTACATGCCAAAAAGAAAGGGCGTCTTATCAGGAGAAAAAAAAAAAGAAAGGGCAACAATGAACAATATTTGTCTTCTTCAGACAAACACAAGGAAACTAAGGCAAGGACAGGACTGTGTTGCAGCAAGTTTGGGTTCATTCTGAAGTCAACTGAAACAAAAAAGCAGCACTCCTGCTAATTTTCAATCCCTTAGAGACCATCAATGCATTTGAATCGAAATTGGCATTCAAGAAACTAAATGTGCCAAGCTTGGCTAATAATTTATTCAAAAAGTGACAAAAGTGGAGATGCCACCAAGGTTCCTTTTTTTTTCTATCTTGAGTCACCCCGGGGTGGACAGGAGGAGTGGGAGGGACGCGATAAAAAACAAGAAAGGAAAACATGTTTCTATGATACTCGTGAGATTCCTAAAAGTTTTAACGCACATCTCTCATCATGCCATCTGGTTGCTGGGTTGGAAAACGGGGGTGCCTTGAACAGTACGAGAACATGTTTTCATGTTGTTTTGAGTCTATTTTGGGCACTGTGGGTAAACGATTTGAAAGGAATTAGTCCTAGCAATAGTAAGAACAAGATGAATGTACGGAGAAGGCTTGTTAAGTAAGGTTTCAACTGCGAAAAAAGGCAATATTAGATCTGTTTTTGACGATAGAGGGCTGAAGAAAGCCTAGACCTCACACCTACATTCTTAGAACTCACAACTAAGAGAGAAGGAAAAGCCTACAAGTCAAACATTGGCTCTAGTGCCTCACACCTAAAAGAAGGTGCATCAAACATCTCAATAAATTTTCACAAAAGATATAACAATTATCTAAATCAAAAGAAAGGAAAAACAATAAGACATAGATGGCAAAAACTTAGGGACCAAGAAGTGCTTGGTGATTAGTAAATTTGGGGCCGAATTTGTTTGACTTATATACTACGGACTCTCTACCAAAGGATTTAGACCATCATTTGGACGCACAAGACCTAAAAAACATGGCGCAAAATTTACAAATGCTACCACAATGTAAAAAGATCCCGTAAGGCAGTCCAGTATTACAGCTAAAGGACAAAACTTCATAAGAGTCATGTTATAGAAGTTACTTATTCTGCACTATCCTTCGTAACACTAATAAAAATAACTTATTTAAATGACACACACACTTAAAAGCCTCCAAACTAGTCAAATTCGAACTTCAAATCGCAGATTGCTTTTTTCTTTGAATTTTTGTTCCTTTGGTGTCCAATGTTCTGCATCAGTGAAATAGACCTAGGTACTTGTCATCTTTTAAGCCAGCCCAAGTATAAGTAGCAAAGTTTCTTTAATAGCACAGTCAAAGATCTTGTAATACCATATACTTCATTAAATCGCCTCAAATGGTTATTGCAAGTGCTTTGATTCTCTTTCTGACATTTCCCCTTCTAAATGCATTTATCATGCCTAATTGCCAACATCGCCAAAATATATAATTATCCTGACAAATGTCCCATTCCAATCTCCATATTAGTGAAGTAACCTAATTCAACACAAATCTTTCACCCCTGACCCAGGAGAAATGAAAACCCGACTGTGCCGTAAGTCTCACCTTTGCTTACCATATAGTGATCACACTGATGTCATTTTAACTTTTAAGCAACAAAATAATAAGAACATCAAAAAGCTGAAGAGGCTAAGATATCGCAAGGCTCAAACGTACACAATGAAATGGCAAACAGGAACAGACTTTCTACATCAATCACCTGTTACATACCTGCTCATATAAATCCTCTAGTTTCTTCCTGGGAAGCTTGAGCTGTGCCACTTGAGGTAATATTGCATCCCACCTTCCACTATTAATGTCCGCAACAAATGTTTCAAGGCTGTCTACTGTATTTAGAGAAACCTGGCACTCATTTTGTAATGTTTGGAAAGTTTGATGCAAAGAATTTTCCTTGCAAAATTGAAGAACTATCTTAATCACGCTGCAAAAATAAAAGTATACCACATTAGACTTGCTCGTCATCCAATAAGTATAATGCATCCCAAAAAAACGTCTATTGGCCCAGAATAAAAGCAGAAAAAGGAAAAAGTGTCAAAAAACATTAAGTGCATGCCGGACCAACAGAGGAAAATATGACAAAAAGACCGCAAGGTTGTAGCAAAGAGTCTGAAAACAACACAGTTTTCATGTGGAAACCATATTATGTTGGGATCCTGTCCAGGAACGCCATTGTAAACAGAAATTTAAACAAGGATGTGCTTCAGGGTCTGTTTATTTAGCAAGATAGTGGTAGAAAATGCAAGAAAGAAAAAAAATTAAAATTTTTCATGTTTTTGGTTAGCATGAAATGGAAAATGAGAGAGAAAATAATTTTCCTCCATGTCCAGATTTTCTCACAATTAACCAACTTTTGATTCTTGCAAAAACAAACAAGAAAAGGCAAGAAAGTTGTGATCAATAACCTAACTTCCCATTTTACACTTAATTTTCTTAAAATATTCAATTAGTTATTAATCTGAAAAGGTAAGCTAACATATAATTTGATCTAGAAATCTAGGTTCAGGTCAATCATTGTCCTAGAATCAGGTTAGGAGGCAATTCTTTTAAAAGTTTTAATTTTTAATTATAATATTTTTTTTCTTCTTTAGATCGAGTTCATATAATTAAGGATAATTTAGACAATTAGAAAAAATTTCTTATAATTTTCCTTTCTTTCAAATAATAACATGAATATTTTTTATAACTTTCTTAGAAGTTTTTTATGTTAATCAAATACATGCATGAAAATATTTTTTTTTTAATTTTCTTTTTTTTTTTACTTCATTTTTTACCACTTTCACTTTCCATTATCCTTTTCTTCCTAACCAAATGGATCTTCAGCGTTTACAAGAAAATTCAACCACGTGAAAACATTTTCAGCCCCAGGAAATATATATGACACAATGAGAAAAATAAAATGAAGGTGAGATGAGACATCAAGTAAGGTTGAAGAGTGCTAGAGCATCCAACTCACTAATTGACAATGAGTGGAGAGGTCCCTCAAACATATAAACTCACCTTGAATGATCCTAATTATTAGATTTATGATATAAGCTCCCTTTACACCCTTCCTTTCATAGAACCCGAGCCCGCACGTGCGGCTAACAAACAAAGAGACAAACATGCATAGAGAAATGCAAATAGGCAAGAATCTTGGCCCACTGACAACCTAAGACCCACTTTTGATACCATGCTAGATCATTTTCAAGCATAAAAACCAACCATGGGTAGTACTAATCATTCAACGGGGAATACAAGCTCTCTTTACAGCTCCTTCATGTGGAACCTAGTCTAGCACTTAGGGCTACCAAACAAACATGTATATTGGAAATTCTAATGGATGAAAGACTTGACTCACTAACCACAAAAGGCAACATATAACTCAAAATCAATTGACAATAACTGAAAAGACCCCTCAAACATAAAAACCAATCTTGCGTGATCATAATCTTTTGATGTGGAATACAAGTTGACTTATACGCTTGAGGATCGCCTAATGTTGTATCTCAAATCAAATGACTAAGATCACCCAATATTTGCGTATATGCTTGAAGCGTCTCTCCACTCATTACTAATTGATTTTGAATTGAATGATCTAACATAGGATTAGAATTGGGCCTTGCGCACTCTGCTAATTGGTTTTGAGTTAGATGATCCAACACAATTTTAGAGCTAGCCTTGGGTGGGCAGTGCTTCAAGACCTTTACGCATTTGCATTTCCCCGTATGCATGTTTGTTTGTTTGATTATTAGTCAAATGTACGAGACAGGGTCCTACATCAGGGAGGATGTAAAGAGAGCTTGTATCCCAAATCGAATTATTAAGATAAATCAAATAAAACAAAATTCTAATTAATTTAAAAAAGTGTACAAAAGGGGTGGACAAGAAATCCACCCCAAGATAAAAAAAATACATTAAAGAAAAAACATTACATCCCTATAAAACATGAGCAATTTATTAGTTACTTGAGTTGTCCACTCATTACTAAGAAAGTAAAAAATTATAGGGAGAATCTCACTTTACACCCCGAAAGATTTAAACTTTTTCACTTTGCACCCTAAAAGATTAGATTTTCCATATTGCACTCTCAATGTATTAAAAGTGTTGCAATGTGACTCTTTTGTTATATCCTTAAACTCTTTTGTAGTTAAAGTCCAAAGGGAAGCCAAAAACTTTGCTCTATCACAAAGAAGCTTCATAATTTTTTCCTTTCCTTTAAAAATTATGTTATTCATTTCCAACCACACCACCCATAAACTACACATTCCCACAATATAGATATTCAACTACATTTCCCGAACACACCATAACTTGCTTCTAATTGCAAAACACATCCTCTCAGAATTACCCAACACAATACAAATTCACCCAAAAGCTCTACACCACAATCTCATAGCTACCACCCCGTAGAGAAAAAGATGATCCACACTTTCCAAACTCCCCCTCCACATAATGCACCATTGTGGAGAAAGACAAGAATTTAGTCTTCTCCTTTGCAACAAATCACAAGTATTAATATAACCTTCCAAATCATCTTATGGGGTTCAAACATTGAATGCATTGATCGTCAATCAAATTTTAGAAATAAGATTTGCAAGAATAGGCACGACTAGAATCAAGAATCCACCATTTACTATCCTCCACCCCTAGCAATAATGACACATAATGAAGTGCAGACCATCCTTTTCATTTAAGGCCTTAAAGAAATTAAAGTTCATCGCTCAAGGGATTAAGAGACACAATACATACGGGCTATGGAAGCCTCTTGTGACCTTGATAACCTAAAAATGATGGGGATAAGGCAAAGCAAAGCAGAATCCCCCTTCCCTATATCTCTCTAAAATCGAATTCTCCCACCATTCCTCACTCCCATTTTTATAAACCCCAAAAAAACCATCTAAATCCTCTGAAATGAATTTCCATGGACGGTGGTATAAGCATCTCATTACCACATTCAAGTCCCAACCATTAGGATAAAGTCATACTTGTGTTGGATAACTTCAAGCCACAAAACCCCTTGTTCTATTGGGAACCTTCATAACCACTTTCCTAGCTCTAGTATGCGTAGGAACCAAATTTCTCTGAAATCGACTACTTTTCCTTTTTTTTTTCTTCTTTGGATAGATCATGGGAAGGAAACCACTCCAAAGTGATCCCAAAATCAACACATCGGTTCAAAAGACTAAAATCTAGACATCATTTTGAGCCAACATCTCAACCGGTAGAACTCAAGAAAATCTAGCAGGAGCCAAGAAACAAAACAAGCCATGAACAGAACACCCACCAGAATCTATTTATAGTGAATAATCATCAAATCATATCTTGATTAATTTTGATTGGATGGTTAAAGAATGTGGCGACAGGAAGAGTAACAGCAGAAAAATTTTGAATCATAGATTTGCAATGTATGGACCCCGGATTGCAAAAAAAAATTAAAAACACATCGTGCAATTTTTTCGCTGAGTGAAGCTTTCACTATTCTTGTCCAAAACCAAAACACAACATAGTGCAGGACTCAAATTTTGATTGTTTCTGGAACAATAGCCAAAACTCTGTCCAATATGGGATTAGAAAACAAATTAGATTTAACCGTTTAACTACCAGGACCAAGCAAACGAAAGGAGTAATAGCCATCAACCAACAAGCCTTGTGCAATTGTGTACTTTATTAACATTAAGCATGATAAGAACTATATAAGAGAGCTTACTCTCTAGCTTCGATTTCTAGGGTAGACATCGTTCAACTTCCGAAACGCCAAGAAGCAACGGCACACAGACTAATGCGTCGTAACTCAGGAAAAAAGGAAGAGAGGAGGCAAGTCTGTGAAACTTGACCGTAGTCGACGGTTTTGGAGCTTTCGACCTACCAAGCCCAGCAAAACTTCATCAACAGAACAAGTCTGTTTTTAATTTATTTGGGAAAATTTTAGTCGCATCCTCCTAATTAACTATATCGTCAAGGACACCCCTCTATTATCAAAAACATCAATAACACCCCTTCTAATTTATATTTAAATATTACTAACACCCTTACAATTAAACTACCATTTTTAATAAAAAAAAATAATCTAAAATACCAAAAATATCCCTACATAAACATCAAGTAATTTTATTACATAAAATTTATTAAAATTCGAGCCGATTAAAATTTATTTTTCTACATATTAAAATTTGAACCAATTAAAGTTTGATTGAAGCTGATTAAATTTTATTTTTTTTAATGTATTAAAATTTGAGCTTATTAAAATTTATTTTTTACATATTAAAATTTGAATTGATTTGAACTCTACTTGAGTTATTTGCTCCGATTAAAATTCATTTTTGAGTTGATTAAAGTTTATATTTTTTATTTATTAAAATTCATGTCAATTAAAATTCGATTTATTAAAATTTGAGTCAATGAAAATTTATATTTTTTTATGTATTAAAATTTGGACTGATTAAAATTCAATACGAGTTAATTAAAATTTGATTTAAGTCGATTAAAAATATTTTTTAATTGGCTCAAATAGAATTTTAATTATTCCAAATTTTAATACGTAAAAAATATAATTTTTAATTGTCTCAAATTTTAATATGTAAAAAAATAAATTTTAATTAGTTTGAATCGAATTTTAATCGGCCTAAATCTTAAAACATAAAAAAAAATTAGAAACTAGAGGGAGTCTCATTGAATATATGTTTATCTACAGGAGGTGTGGATAAAGTTTGTCCTCAAATATATCATAGACAATTTAGTAAAATTGTATTTTAGTTAATATTTTTAATCTAATAAGGTGTCGGTGAAAATTCATAAAATAAATGGGATGTTCTTCAAGATATGATAAACTAGAGAGTGTATGATTGAAATTTTCCTAATTTATTTTAAAACTCAATCTCTTTGTTAAAACATCATTTTAAATAATATTTTAATGATCTAAAATGCCATTCAAAATAATTTTTTAAACTGGATAAAATTATTGATTAAATTATCTATACATTCAAGTATAATACAATTTAATTTTAAAAGATAAACAAAATGACTTTTAATATTTGCAGTTGAGATCTTTTCAATTTTAATTTTAATTTAATTTAACTGCTAATATTAACACTCTAAATTTAATAGGAAAAATAGGTCTCTAAGAGTGTGTTTAGTATGAATTTTTAAAAGTGTTTTTAAAACTTATAATTTATCATAAGTACTTTAAAAAAAATATTTGGAACTACTCCACCATCGCCCCACCATCATCACCCCTACCACCACCACCAAACTACCCCCACCATCATCACCACTACCATTACCACTACCATCTCCACCGTCGTCACCTCACCATCACCACCTCACCCAGCATCTCACAACCACCATCACCACTACCGCCACCCCCCCGCCCCTTATCCCCACCATTGCTGTCATCACCATACCACCCCTTTTCATCACCACCTCACCACCACCGCCACTGCCACCCCCATCACCGCTACCGCCCCGACCACCATCATCGCCACTACCCCCACCACCACTACCATCACCTCCACCCCATCGCCACCCTACCACCACTACCCCTATCGCCCCACCACCACCCTCATGACCATCACCACTACTACCATCGCCATCATCCCCACTACCACCCACCACTATTACCTTCGCTCACTCCCTCTATAATTTGTGCTTAAATTTCTTTCTCCCTTTTCTATATTTGTAATTTGATTTTAGATGTGAATACATATATATTTATTGTTGACCATTTTTTTATTAGTTTGTGCCTTCAAACACAGGCAATAACTAGTTATTCTAAATAATATCTTTAAATTCATCATTAAATAATGATGTTTAAAAAAGCTAATTTTTAAACGATAACTAACATCGTTAATAGGGTTACACAATAAAAATGTTATTTTAAATGATGTTTTTACACACGTCATTGAGAACAATGTTTTTAAACACGTCATTGAGAATAACGATTTTGAAAAAGTTTTTAGTGTAAATTTAGTTTGTTAAGTTTTTTGTGATATTATTCATCATGCTGATATCTAATTTATTTAAATTTTTTGTTTTAACTAAAAAATAAATTATTAACCATGTTTTGCACAAAATTTTAAAAACTATGAAGATACCAAAAAAATCAAGTTATGAATTAAAAATAGTTAATTCATTGCATTACATTAAAAAAAATGCATAAAATATAGTTTGTGTATAAATGAATATTGTAACTAATTTTGGGATATTATGTATATGTTAAAAAATTGTCTATTTCAAAACAATGTCATAAGTTCATCGAATAACAAGATTTGACCCCAAAATAATACTTATACATTTAACAAAACAAAGTTATTACATGAGACAATAAAAAATATAGTTTGTCAATATTGTTGTTGATATTAAAAATAACATAGAGGATTACCGAGTACACATAAATTTGATGGAATAAAAGTGTCGGACGCATCATCTCTTAAGTCAGAATAATCAGAAAATTCAAGATCGAAAATGAGTAACAGATCCTCTAAAATCTTAATATTGGCATAATTAGAATTAAAATGCTCAATTTTTGCATACTCGATTGCGTGCAAATGACCAAGTCGATATTGCATCTAATCATTTTCACATTCAAGCCTTGATATGATCTCATCAAGGCTATTTGAGTTTTGTGGATCATATATATTAGTCAAACATGTCTTCGATACCGTTAGCCCATGACAACGACAATATACTTCAAGCTTACAATGTTTGTATTATAACTGTCGTCATCTTAGTATGGGTTCAATATCAACACTCGGAGGTGGACAATCGGTCGAAGGTCAACAATTGCGTGTCCAACTTGACTGAATTGGTGATAAAAGTCGATGATCTTATTAAGGAACTCACGTTTTTGTCCATACTAGGTCACACTATTAGAATATGTGTAGGATCCAATTGAACGAACTATGTTCGATGATATTACTCGGCTAGTCAAGTGTTGACGTTTGTTGGTTAAAGATGAACCATGTTGTTCATTGTATGATGAAGAACCTTGGGTGGTTTGATTGGATTGCCTATTTGATGTGCGCTTAGACATTTTTTTGAGTATGATGTTCACAATTATGAACAACGGTTTATATAGATACAGAATGAAATTATATACAAATTTGACATGACACTTACTGATATGACTAACATGACTTGATACTAATAAAGTAATGACATAACAATTCACTAACAAATGACTGACATGACTTGATAATACACTAATTACAAAGATAAAGTTATCTCACAACTAAACAATGATTACCACTAATCAAGATATGACATTGGAACAAACAATTGCACACGGAGTACAATTGTTAATCTTTATCAGACATATAATCATCTGATAGATATTGTTCATTAGACAATACATTATTTTGATCAATTGGAGTCAAATCTTGTCCATATGCAGTTCCCACCATGTCTTTTGCTAGTTGAAACATATAATAGCGACATTTACACACCAGTATTTTATATTCTCTCTTCGAACATGTTTTACTACTGATTCATAGTCCTCTTTGTTCGGGCGTTGCATTGTTAGTGATCGTTTATGAGGCACTGGTATGCCAACTTCTCTTAATTGTTATACTACTATTGTGTCAAGATGTTCTCTTACGTGTTAGTATTACTATTGTGTCGAGATGACCTTTTTGAACAAGTGTTAATTGTTCCATTAAGTAATTTATATTGAAGTTGATTTAAATGTGTTGTGTACAATATTGATTTTATATGGGACAACTTGATTAAAGACTACAATTAAAATTCATAAAATAATTATAGTCAAGCATTTACAAAAGAAAAACTTTGTACAGTTCCAAAAAAAATACATCAAAATTATGTGCCACATGGAGGTGTTCGCCTACGTCTCTTCGGTTGTTGCCAAAGCTCTTGCTCAGTCTCCTGTGGTCCATCCTATGTCACATGTAATACACCTACATCATTGCTATGATATGCATGACGTCCATGACCTCGGTCTGGGCTCGTCCCCAACCCTATCATCTGTCTTGAACTCACGGTCCACCTCTCACATGACCTATACCTACAAGTGTAGCATCATGTGTCAATCCTCCCCAGCTAACATAAGATTTGATAAAGGATGCTCGAGAGCAGGAGTCGACTAGGATGTATGCGAGATGACAAGGGTGTCAATATAACTAATTCTGTCCCAATTGTTGACACTGCTAGTGGTGATGTAAAATGCAATGGTATGGGCACAACTACAGGAGTTGAAAAGGGAACATCTATAGGTGTCGATGTTGGTGTTCGTGTCAGTGTCGGTGTCGGTGTCAGTGCTAGTGTCCGTGTTGGTGCTTGTGCTGGTGACGGAAGTGGTGGTCGTATAGTTGATGGTGGTACAAATGTGGATGATGGTGGTGAAGAAATAGAAGTAATATAATCACCAAAAGGCAGTGGCTGCGAAGATGTAGACGCAACATCAGTTGTCGAGATTGGACAGTCAAGAAGTCGTCGCTGCTCACGGATAGATGCCAAACACGAGGAGCTCAGATCTATGGTATGCCCAAGAGTCTCCATGCAAAGTGTCAAATCTGGGCTGCCTTCATATGTAAAACGTAAAGTGTGATATATTTGTATAAGAGTCTCTTCCTACAAAAAATTACAAAAAATTTTATTATAGTTAACAATTCCATAATTTATGCCTATCAATATAATAGTAAAATCATTCAACAACATCTTACCAGTAGCTCTATGATACTCCCAATTGGCTGAAAACCAATATTAGGCCTAGTAATGGGGGGGGA